AGATGAAAGAAATTAAAGGAATACACATAGGAAAAGAAGAACTCAAATTGGCACAATTTGCTGATGATATGATTCTATACCTAGAAGACCCTAAAAATTCCACCAGAAAACCTCTAGAACTAGTAAATGAATTCAGCAAAGTAGCAGGATATAAAATCAACACCCATAAACCAAAGACATTTCTGTATATCAATGACAAATCCTCAGAAAGGGAAATGAGGAAAACTACCCCATTTACAATAACCTCAAAAAAATAAAATAAAATACCTGGGAATCAACTTAACAAAAGAGGTGAAAGACCTATATAATGAAAATTACAGAACTTTAAAGAAAGAAGTCAAAGTACACCTTAGAAGATGAAAAAATCTACCTTGCTTATGGATAGGCAGAATTAATATTATCAAAATGACCATACTTCCAAAAGCACTATATAGATTTAATGCAATTCCAATCAAAATCCCAATGACATTCCTCATAGAAATAGAAAAAGCAATCATGAAATTCATCTGAAAAAATAAGAGACCCAGAATAGCTAAAGCAATCCTTAGCAGTAAGAGTAAAGCAGGTGGCATCACTATACCAGACCTTAAACTATACTATAGAGCAATAGTAACAAAAACAGCATGGTATTGGCACCAAAACAGACTGGTAGACTAAAGGTACAGAATAGAGGACACAGAGACTAACCCACATAATTACAGTTATCTTATATTAGACAAAGGTGCCAAAAACATTCATTGGAGAAAAAATAGCCTCTTCAACAAATGGTGTTTGGAAAACTGGAAATCCATATGCAACAAAATGAAATTAAACCCTTATCTCTCACCATGCACAAAACTCAGCTCAAAATGGATCAAGGACTTAGGAATAAAACCAGAGACTCTGCGTCTAATAGAAGAAAAAGTAGGCCCTAATCATCATGGATTAGGCCCCAACTTCCTTAATAAGACTCCTTTGGGGGCTGGGGTTGTGGCTCAGTGGTAGAGTGCTTGCCTAGCATGCACGAGGCACTGGGTTTGATCCTCAGCACCATACAAATGTAAAATAAAGATATTGTGTCCACCTAAAACTTAAGAATAAATATCTTTTTAAAAAAAGACTCCTTTGGCACAAGAATAAAATCAAGAATCAATAAATGGGATGGACTCAAACTAAAAAAGTTTCCTCTCAGCAAAAGAAACAATCTGTGAGGTGAATAGAGAGCCAACATATTGGGAGCAAATCTTTACCCTTCATACATCAGATAGAGCATTAATCTCTAGGTTATAAAAAGAACTCAAAAAGCTAAGCACCAAAAAAATAAATAACCCAACCAATAAACGGACCAAGGACCTGAACATACATTTCTCAAAAGATGATATACAATCAATCAACAAATATATGAAAAAGTATTCATAATCACTAGCAATCAGAGAAATGCAAATCCAAACCACTCTAATATTTCATCTCACTCCAGTCAGAATGGCAGCTATTATGAACACAAACAACAATAAGTATTTGCAAGGATGTGGGGGGAAAGGTACACTCATACAATGCTGGTGGAACTGCAAATTGATGCAGTCAATATGGAAAGCAATTTGGAGATTTCTTGGAAAATTGGGAATGGAACCACCATTTGACCTAACTATCCCTCTCCTCGCTCTATACCCAAAGGACTTAAAAACAACATACTACAGGGACACAACCACATCAGTGTTTATAGCAGCATAATTCACAATAGCTAAACTGTGGAACCAAGCTAGATGCCCTTCATTGGATGAATGGATTTTTTTAAATGTGGCATATATTCACAATGGAATATACTCAGCAATAAAAGAGAATAAAATCATGGCATTTGCAGGTTAATGGATGCAATTGGAGAAGATAATGCTAAGTGAAGTTAGCCAATCCCAAAAAATCAAATGCCAAATGTTTTCTCTGATATAAGGAGACCAATTCATAGTAGGGTAGGGAGAGGGAGCATGGGAGGAATAGACAAACTCTATATAGGGCAGAGGGGTCGGAGGGGAAAGCAGGGGATATGGGTTAGAAATGATGGTGGAATGTGAAGGTCATTATTATCCAAAGTACATGTATGAAAACATGAATTGGTGTGAATATACTTTGTATACAACCAGAGATATGAAAAATTGTGCTATATATGTGTAATAAAATTGTAATGCATTCCACTATCATATATAAATTAAAAATTAATTTAAAAAAGAATGAAAGAAAAGTGTCATGGTTTAACATTACCAGTATACTCCCTGGCACATCAGCTGTGAGGTCTATGGAAGCATGTACGTGGTACATGTGGTCCTCTGAAGGGGCTGTGTCCTGTCTTTAGTCACATCATGCCTGGCTGATGTGGAGACTGATGTCAGCAGATGTAACTGTATCATTTCCTTATATACTATGTTGAATGACTATGGGTGTCTAGAAAGCTTCATGCTAGAGATCTTGAAAAATAAGTGTGTAGGATTTTGATCAAGGGAAGTAGGCAGGAAAGGCTATAAGTAAAGGGCAAAGACTGGAGGTGCCAAAGAGATTGGCATCTCAGAACTGGTGAATCCTGCATGACTGGGATAGTGGGAGAAGCAACTCCCACTATGGAAAGGTAAGCTGGGCAATCACTGATGTGCTTGGGTGACATGCTGCAGAGGTGGGTTTTCAATGGGAAAGAAATGGAGAGAGGCCATACAGGCTGGAAATAGAATGTGCTTGGAGAGTCATTCATATGAAATTCATGTTTTATTAATCTGTAACCCAGGGGAAACCAGCATGCCTGGGGGACTCTTCCCGGTCCTTTGGAGACTGATGTCAGCAGATATAACTGTATCATTTCCATTTTTAAATATGCCCTCTTGTTCCTATCCTCATGGACTTCAAATTGGGCCAATTCACTGTGGCATTTTTGAGATTCCCATGTTTTTACTTATACTAAGCCTAGGGGAAATGCCATACAGTCAACTAGGCCACAAACTAGGAACAGTTCAAAGAAACAAACTATTTCACAAACAAGAAATGCTTCATTTTTTTTCAAAATGGTTAAAGCGAATCAAAATGCTGAATCATGAGACCGAAAAAAAATATGTCAAATGACAGATACATTTGTTCATCAAATTTCAAGTTTTGCTATCCTGATAACTGCAAATGTGGATAATTTTGCCAGTCTTTGTTCCATGACAAAAAGAATCAGCTTCCCAAAAAGGAAGGTTTTACATCAGCACTTTTTCTCTGCCTTTTAATGAAACATTGTCTATTCCAGCAAAAAGGATTTGTGATGGAACCAGTTTTTCTTCCTGGTCCCCCAAACAAAGACCTAAATCTACTTTGTTCAAAATCAAGAAATACCTTTCTATCTTAAATACCATCAGGCATCATATTATCTCTGAGTGTCTAATTATTCTACAGATGTTCAAAGACAAATCAGACCTGCATTGTTTATGAGTATTGTGTACCTCTACGCAATAAAACTTGAGGATTTTTTTTCTAATGTCTTTACTTTATATATTATAGCTTCTTTCAAAGAGGAGAATTGAACAAAAATGAAACTGGAAAATTATAATAGAATAGCTTTTATGACATTACTAACTGGTAATATCTGAAATAATAATGTATGAAAAGATCCTTTTTAAAAATTATCCACAAAGTTCTCAAAGAACTGTGTAGTCAGTGGAATTTTTTCCTGGAAAAGTGTTGTAAATGAGGCTGATGCAATTGTGAGTAAGTTGGGGAACCCAGCAAGTATGGTCTGAAATCATCAGAAATTTCCAACAATGAATTGAACAGTTGATAGTTGAAGTTCAACCCACTGACCCTGGTATGCAATTCAGATTTTATCCATCATTATTCCATAAATCAGCCAAAATGCTTCACTTTCTAGCTGATATTTCCACCCTTGATCTGGGACTCATGCCATCCCCTCACCTCATATTCCCACAAAAGCATACATCCATCAATTGCTCCTTGGCACACACTCCCAATATTTTGAAACTCACGTCAAGTCTTGCCTTCATAAAGCCTTCTGCAGTCACTGGTAATTCTGTCCAATGCTAGAATGGTCTCTCCATCCTCTGAGTTCTTACAGCACTTTGTGTCCCTGCAAAAGGTAAGTAAATAATATGAAAGGCCAGTGGAGGGCTCAAGGAACCCAGCCTCAAGTGATCCAGAGCAATTTATTTAAAGTGGACTGTTTTAAAAACACAAGTGAGTTTTAAATTCTCCTTAATCTATTTATGGAGACCACCAGTGGCCCAGCACATAGTATGTACCCCAGCTACATATCAGCTGGAGTCACATAGCTGATCAACAGAGAAGGTTCAATAAAGATATCCAAAATAATAACTAAACGTGAATAAAGTCAAATTCTTCTCCCACTATTGCTAAGAAAAGTTTAGGTGCATGGTGTCTCTAACCCTCTAAGCTTGTAGACCTGACCATCTCAGTATGAGATTCAGTCTCCTTAGAAGGCATATGGAACACTTCTGATTCCTGAGCCTGTCATTTGGAGTCCCCTATCCTGACCTCAACAGGTTTCCCAAAATCTTTTTTTCAGACACATACTCCCACTCTTCAAGAGGAATTCAGGTGAATTCCACCTCATTACATATTTCCATAAGAAGGAAATTCTGTGATGATTTAACCAGGTGAGATGTGTTCATTATTTTAGATTAAAAATTAGTTGGTTGTTACCTCATAGAGTAATAAATACTTCTTTGTGTAACCTGCTTGACACAGATAAACCCTATGAAATAAAAAGCCAGTCACATCTGTCTCTACACATAATAAGAAAGTGTTTCCTCTAAAACTTTGTTAACATATGAACAAGCTTTAAGTCCTGACTATGTGTGGCTACCTCTGAATTATAAATAGCAGTAAAAAGAAATAAATAAACCCAGGAACTGGGGAAACATAAGAGAAGATAGCTGGAAGAAACATCAAGAGAAGACATGATGTCTCAAGCCCTCAGCATATCAAAGCCAAACAGCTGAATTGTGTGTTAACTTTGTGAATGAAAAAGCAAAGATCATTTAGAGGAAAACCACTTTCCCTGGTCCCACAGCCTTTCTCCCCAATTTATTTCATCATTACTCATTCCTATATGGGGCATGCCCACCTGTCTTCTCTGTGGATAAATGTTTAATGTTGAAACCTCACATGCTCAGTCTGATTTCAGAGGTGTGAAAAAACATCCAGGACATGCACTCCAGCTTCCTCTTCTCAGGTGCCCAGAGTCCTCCTTATCCTATTGTAATTTGGACACGAGCAGTCTGTCTCTCAAATTCTAAGCTTATTATGAGTGACTTAAATGTCATTCCTGAAAATCCTTAGCAAAGCAGATGAGTTAAAAATGACCTTAACAAATCATCTTCCAAGAAAAGAAAAATGATGCCTGTCACCTTTAAAAAGGCAACTAGTCAATAACAAATAATGAGCACGTAAGAATGACAATTCTTTTTTCCCACATGACACTAACTATATGCAGTAGCACAGTTTTCAAAAGAGTAGTACAATTTACTTTAGTACAGTTTACTTTTCTTAAAGGAAACTTGTGAGGAGGTAACCAAATGCATGGAGCAATCTTCACATTGGAGCAATCAGTAATTTGTTATGTATTATTTGTACCAGTCAGTCAAGATGCACAGATTAACTAGAAGATAATAAAGACCTGTGAAATTGGGACAGAAAAGTAAAGGGTTTTGAAAAGAAGGGCTGAAGGGAGTAGAAGTGGAGTGATGATTTCTGATCCTTTCCCTACAATGCCTTTTTAAAATAAACTTTAGAGTTCTAGTTAATGATGGCAGCTTAAAGACACTCAGCCTTTGTTATCTTGGTGAATCCCACAAAAACCATAAAGAGAACAGGACAAAGACAGAAGCAACATGGTAAGAGAAACTGGAAAACAGATGGATGAGCAGATGGATAATTGACTTATAAACCCTAAGAGAGAGAGAGAGAAGGTGTGGCTCAGTGGGAGAGCACTAGCCTAACATGTATGAGGTCCTAGGTTCAATCCCCAACTCTGAAGAGGAAAAAAAGAAACATTCCAAACCAGCTCCAGGTACCCTTGGGAGTGGGTGAATGTGGGGTGACAGAAAGGCTATTTGAGAGGCAGTTAAGCTTTATTCTGACCAAGAGTAGGGATGACATATTGAAAACATGAGCAGAGCATGCATGAAGGTTTCCGGACTGATTTTGAGACCTTCCCTACCTTCTCTGCTACCCCAGGCCTATTTCCACTCATTTCCTAGACACTGTCCAGACTTTTTTCCTCTAGACAGGACACTAGAGGCATCTTCCCTATAGAATTCTGGTCCTAGTGAAAAATACCCTAAATATACTTATGTCAAAAGAAATGCTCCAGCCAGATCACTCTAATTAGGTCCACATTTGACAGGCCTCATCACCCAGCCATTGACTTTGAAGCAAACCCACTCACAAATATACACAAAGGGCCTAGGAATGGGCATTAAAGAAGAACTTCTAAGATGAAAGAGAGAGGCCAAAACAAATAAGCAGAAAACAGCAACCTGGAGAAGGCAGAGCTTATGAAAAGAGAAAAAGGAATTTAAAAACAAACAAAAAAAAAACACCCTATGTTCTTGGAAATTAAAAGTATGATGACAAAATTGAAATCCCAAGGGTAAGAAGTTAATAGTGTAGAACTTTTTCAGAAATAGAGCCAAGGCAAAGAGATAGGAAAGTGGCAAAGGAAAAAAGATATGAAAACAAAAACAGAACCCTTCAGGAAGTCTAATATCTGAACAAAAGTATTTTGAATAAACCATTCGTTGTTCTCTACTCAATATATGGAAAAGAAGAAATCAGCCAAGAACTCATTGAGATTTCCCAGAGTGAAAGAAAAGAATTTCCAGACTGAAAGGCCCACTGAGATCCCAGGACAACAGATGAAAAGAGGAATATGTACTGTGGAATTTTACACAATTAGGAATAAGAAAAAATTCTACAAGCTTTCAGAAAAAGAAAAAAGAGAGTAACCAAGTTTCAACAAAAGTATAAAGAATCAGAAAGACTTTGTGTTTCTCAATAGCAACCCTGGAAATGATGCAGGTAAAATGTTTTTCAATCCAAACTTTATACAGTCAAATTACAATTTAGTGTGTGTGTAGAATAAAGCATTTTTAGACACATAAGATCTCAAAACACTTCCTGTGCTAACTTTCTCAGGAAAGTATGAGATATTAGAAGATGTGCCCCACCAAAGTGTGAGAATCAACAAAGAAAAAGACATTGGATCCAGGAAATGGGTAATCAAACCCAGAAGAGAGGCAAAGGGAATTTCTGGGATGATAGTGAAGGTTGTTATTGTTTGGATCTAGAATGTTCCCCAAAGGTTCATGTGTTAAAGAATTAGTCCCCATGGTGGCACTATTGGGAGGTGGTGGTATTTTTAAGAAGTGAGGTCTAGAATAGAAGACACAGAGACAAACCCACATAAATATAGTTATCTGATACTAGACATAATGCCAAAAATATATGTTGGGGGGAAAAACAACCTTTTTAACAAATGGTTCTGTGAAAACTGTAAATCCTATGTAGAAGAATGAAATTTAATCCCTATCTTTTACCCTGTACAAAAGTCAACTCGAGGGGCTGGGGTTGTGGCTCAGTGGTAGAACCCAGCATGTGTTCCATCCTCAGCACCACATAAAAATAAAGAAATAAAATAAAGACCCACTGGCCACTAAAAATATATATTTAAAAAAAAAGTCAACTTGAAGTGGATCAAAGACCTAGGAATTAGACTAGAAACCCATAAAACTGCTACAAGAAAATGTAGGCCCAACCCTCAAATATGTTAGCACAGGAACTGAATTCTTAAGAAGACTCCTAACACACAAGAAATAGAATTAAAAATCAATAAATGGATGGCATCAAATTAAAATTCTTCTGCACAGCAAAGGACATAAGAGCTTAAGAAGAGCCAACAGAATGGGAGATAATATTTGCCACCTGGTCCTCACATAGGGCATTTATATCCAGAATATACAAAGAACTGTAAAAACTTCACACCAAAAATACAAATAACTCAATCAATAAATGGACAAAAGAACTAAACAGACACTTCTTAAAAGAAGAAATACAGGGCTGGGGATGTGGCTCAAGCGGTAGCGTGCTCGCCTGGTGTTCGCGGGCTGCTGGGTTCAATCCTCAACACCACATAAAAAAATAAAATAAAGATATTGTGTCCACCTAAAACTAAAAAATAAATATTTTAAAAAAGGAAGAAATACAAATGGCCAACAAATATATTTTTAAAATGTTCAATATTTCCAGCAATTAGGGTAATGCAAATTAAAACCACATCTCATTCCAGTAAGAATGGCAATTATCAAAAATACAAATAACAATAAATGTTGGTGAGAATGTGGGGAAACAGGCACACCATACATTGCTGGTAGGACTGCAAATTCCTAAAGAAAAAAAAAGTAAACTGTAAATGGATTGAAGAGGGATCAGTGAAATTGGAGGGAGGGAAGCAGTGGATGGGAATGGGAGGAATTGCTGAGTACTGAATTAGAGTGGATTGGATTCCATGCTTTTGTGATTATGTCAAGGTATATCCTGATATTGTATCCTAACAAGAAGAAGAAGAAGATGATGATGATGATGATGATGAGGAGGAGGAGGAGGAGGAGGAGGAGGAGGGAGGAGGAGGAGGGAGGAGGAGGAGGAGGAGGAAGGAGAAGAGGTCTAGTATGAGGTTTTTAGGTCACTGCGGGACTGTGCCCTTGAAGGGGAAGGTGGGACCCCAGCCTCTTTCTCTTCTCTCTTTTTTCACATCCCAGCCATGAGGTGAGCAGTTCTGCTCCTCCATGCACTCCCACCAGACTAGAGGCACAAAGGCAATGGGGTCTACTCAATGAAGGATTGGAATCTCTAAAACTATGAATCAAATAAATCTTTTTATAAATTGATTATATCAGGTATTGCTTACAATAATGGAAAGTTGACTAAACACAATGAATGGCTTATAATCATCCCAGTGTGGAACAGGTCATGAGATTCTAGAATCAGCAAAACAATCAATTTGATTGTCTTAAGCATTTAGGTACTAAGCAGATTTATACACTAGGAACAGGTTGGGGAAATGTTGATTAAGAAAAAACTAAACAAAACAACCAAATAGAAAAGGTAAATAAAGTAATCATAGTATACTACATGGTTTGGTTGTGAATAGCATTATTTAAGTCTTAAGAATGCAAAAACTGAATATTGATATAATCAAGTGTTAGAGGTAATATGTAAATAAAACTAAATTCCTCTCTTCCTTAGTGGAAAATATGCAGATTATTTCTAACACCAAAACATCAATAAAGATAAGCATGCTGTTTAGAGACATGGAGGTAACTAACAAAAGATTTTAAGAAATTTACTTGCAAACAGCAGGAAATGTGGAGAAGTTGGGAGTGAAAGAAAAACCCCTATCAAGTTTTTCATTCTTACTATTGATTCCTTAAACTATGTCCATATTTAATTTTGTTTTTACAAAACTATTTTTTAAATAAAAAGGAATGTTATGAATACCTCCCTGTGTATTTACTTGTACTGAAAAAGAATTTAGTAAAAACTTTTATCAATAATACATTTTAAAATACCCTTGAACTTCATTAATCAGAGTGGCATTTATATACCATGAAAAAATAGATTACCATGTAAGCACAAAACATGTAATGATTCATTCACAGATGGTGCTTAGTGCATGTTTAAATTTGCTTTAATAGTTAAAACTTAACCTCACTAAGCCTCAGTTTCCCATATATGGTGTCAAGAGTAGGCATGGTTGTTCATTTTCTCTTTGGGTTCCAAGATTTCCAGCTATTTTTTTTTAATTTTTTTAGTTGTAGGTAGACCCAATATCTTTATTTTATTTGTTTGTTTTTTATGTAATGCTGAGAATCGAACCTGGTGCCTCGCATGTGTTCAGCAAGCGCTCTACCACTAAGCCACAACCTCAGCCCAAGATCCATCTTTTTAATAAAGTCCCTTTTATATGTGCTGGTCTGACTAAGTGTCTAACATACCCTAATGAAAACAGGTATACTACACAAAGGTGCATAGTTGCACAATTGGTAAATAATAGACAAGATTTGAAACTAGTCCAAGGACATTCCATTTTGCTTTAAACAGATCCTTATAATTTTGCCTCAGCAACTCTTTAAATAACTTAATATATTAAAATAGCTCTGTCTTTAGGAATGCCTTGTCTCATCAACTATAAGATAATCTTACTTTGACAGTGAAGCTATTTAGTAGATTTGGATTTGCAAAGCCTATAGGTGAAATGTTACTTATTGTCTAGTGACTGGAAGAAGCAGTTCCTTTGGTTATGGCCACAGGGACCCACCAAACTGGGTTTTCCCCAACCATGAATACCCAAAGAGACTAAACTAGCACATGGTCTTAGTATACATGCTTTTAATAAACAAAAATACCATTAAAATATCCCAAAATAAATGAACCAAACATATATTTCTCAAAAGAATACAAGTAGCCAATGAACATAAGAAAAAAATTTTTCATTGTATTTAGCAAATTAGGAAATGGAAGTCAAAACTACTGAGATTTCATCTCAAACCGTCAGAATGGCAGTCAACATGAATAAAACACTAATAAATAATGAAGAGGATTTGGGGGAAAGGATCATTTTTAGATTCTTGGTGGGGTTGAAAATTAGTATTACCACTATGGAAATCTGTATGGAGATTCTTCAAAACACTAGGAATAGAACCATCATTTGACCTAGCTATACCATTTCTCAGTATTTAGCCCAAAGAATTGAAGTTATCATACCATAGAAATACATAGATATTCATGTTTATAGCAGCCCAACTGAAATAGCCAAATGATGGAACCAATCTAAGTGTCTGTTAATGGATGAATGGATAAAGAAAACATTTTATATATATTTATATATATATATATATACACACACACACACACACACACATACACGCAATGGAGTTTTAATAAGCCAAAAAGAAGAATGAAGTTATGTCATTTACAGGAAAATGGATGGAACTTGAGAGCATTATTTTATGGTTTAGATATGAGGTGACCTCAAAAGTTCATATGTGAGGCAATACAGGAATGTTCCAAGGTGAAATAATCATATTATAAGAGTCATAATTTAATCCAGTAGATTAATCCATTTGATGGGTTGATAATTTGACTGGATTAGTGGGTGGTAACTGTAAGCAGGTAGGGAGTGGCTGGAGGAAGTAGGTCCCTGGCTTCTTGTACTCAAACTCTCTCTGCTTCCTGGCTGTCATGAATTGGGCAGCTTCCCTCTGCCAGGCCTTTCCACCAGATGTTTTGCCTCACCTCAGGTCCAGAGCTATGGAGTTGGTCAATCACAGATTGAATCTCTGAAACTATGAGGCAAGATAAACTTATCCTCCTCAAAGTTGTTCTTGTCAGATCTTTTGGTCACAGCTACAAAGAGCTAGCACAATTATGTTAAGCAAAATAAGACAAACTTAGAAAGTCAAGGGTCATATGTTTTCTCTCATATGTGGAAGCTAGAGAGAAAATGGGAAAGAAAGGGGGAAAGGAGATCTCATGAAAATCAAAGAGAGACCAGTGGAGTAGAGAAAAGGGACCAGAGAGGAAGAAGAGGGGAGAGAAAGAGGAATAATACTAATATTATTAGAGAATAATACTGATTTGATTATATTGTTATATTGTTTGCATGTATGAATATGTGACAAAGAATTCCACTATTATGGATAACTATAATGCATTAGTATAAAATATGGAAAACAAATATTGTTAAAGAAATCAGAAGCACCAGCAAAAGCTATTATTGTATACATGCATATGTGCTTGCAGGGAAGAAAAAAATTCCAACTATACTGGTAAACTTTTTTCAATTTCTTGGGTTTTGTGTCTGTAATATTTGCAACTTTCTAAACTCTTTGAATAAAGAAAAACAAACTTCTGCCCAAGAGCAGGAGGGAACACATATAAGAATGATTATCTAAGCCCTAACTGTAATTGTTTTTAAAAATGGAAGCAAGCAGCTGGGTGTGGTGGCACATGCCTGTAATCCCAGTGACTCAGGAGGCTGAGGCAGGAGGATTGCAAGTTCAAAGCCAGCCTCAGCAATAGAAAGAAGCTAAGCAATGCAGTAAGACCCTGTCTCTAAATAAAATACAAAATAGGGTTAGGGATGTAGCTCATTGGTTGAGTACTCCTGAGTTCAATCCCTGGTATCCCCCCCAAAAAAATGGAACCAAGCAAATGTCCATCCATGTCAGAATGAATAAATAAACACACTGCAGGATATTCACACAATCTAATACCAAATGATAATGAAAATGAATTAGAGTGATACATAATAGTGTGGATGAATCTCAGGTTCAAATATTTGAGTGAAAAATGCAAGTTGCAGAAAACTCAAACAATATGATTTCATTTGCCTACAGTCCAAAGCCATGCAAAACCCAGCAATGTATTGTTTTTAG